CTCGGATCCACTATTCCTTGGTTGACTGGCATATACCTTAACCCCACATCCACCGCTCAGCTAGAATGTATTTGTAACCAATGCAAGGACGGAATATCGAAACGGAATAATTCACAGCAATATTTACACACAAACTAGTGTGTGAGTTTCTTATTTAACAGGAAAATAATAATTAAATAATAATAATAAAAATAATAATGATAATAATCATAAAAAATTACTCGAGAAATTGATCACAACAGAATATGACAGATGACGTGCCATCGTGCGATGTGCCTTGTAACACCGCACTTTAGGGTCCAACGCACTTTGGGGTCAAAATCCAGAAACTGACCTCAAAGTGCGTTAATATGCTACATATCATCGCACTTTGGGTTCCAGAGGTCTATAGGTGTCATTTGAGTTCTTCTTCAATACTGAGTACTGACTTTAATAATTCCGATCTGCGACATTTAAATATTTGAGGTTGAATTCAAGATGGCGGTCAATACTTTGGTTGATGCTTAAGTGATAAAAGTTTCATTAAATTTATCACTTGAACTATCTAAATATTGTGTTCATATCACAAAGTTCTCTAGTACATAAATTGTTGATGTATTCCTAAAATTCAAAGATCAAAGATGCCGCGAAAATATCCCGTTCTGTCAGTTTTTTACTTGATAACTTAATATTTTTTCCCAAAGAACTATAAATACATGTATACTCTATTGCAATGTTCTGGTGAAATATCATGTTTTTCGATAGGACTATGAATAACTTAAACTTTAGGTTTTTTTGTAAGCTCCGTAACAACCGTTTGCCAGAGGCGTTTTTTAAGGGAAATCTTACATTATCCTTAGAAAGAACAAACATGAATTTTATTCATTTGCGGTGCAAATCACGCCTTCGTCCGAAGCGCGATGATGACGTAGTACCGACATAGCATGTGATAACACGTGTGTTGATTTATTTAGAAATGCTTTAATAGATAACAAAGCGCATATAGATGTTATCGTGCAAAACTTACACATGATAGCGTTGATCAATCGGTCGAACGATTCACGGTTTATATGCAAGAACATGCTTTTAGTGTTTTTGGTAAAAAAAGAAAAATAAATGAGCCGAGTTTATGTAAATTGTCAAAAGATAAAAAGAAATGGTCTAATCACGAGTGTTATAATGCTCGTCATCAATTCAATGTAGCGAGAAATTACTATTTAAGACATAAAACAATAGAAAATAAAAATATTTATTTAAATAAAAAAATAAATATAACTGTTAAGAATAAATGTAAAAAAAACTTTTCAAAAGTAACGAGGGTAAACGTGTTTCAAGTCCAAAGGCTTTTTTGAAGGACGTTAAATCGCTATATAAATAAAATAACGGGGGTCCAAATAATAAAATATCTTTTGACGATTTATATATGCATTTCAATAATTTATATGAAACGCAACCTTTGTCGGATTATAACTTAAATGAACAACAAGAACAAATTGTTCAAAATGATTGTTTAGATGCGTTATTCACTATATCTGAACTGAAATATGCTGTTTACAGTCAAACTAATTCAAAAAGTCCGAATGCAGATCACTTGATAGCCGAAGTGTTTAAGCATTCTTTAGATATTATTTTTACCTTTCATACTTCAATTGTACAGCAAATTATTCACCGAAGGTATCTTCCAAGTAACTTGGCAACAAGGTATAATAGCTCCGATTTTCAGAGGCTGTTCCAGCTGAAGCAAAAATTTTTCGTGGAATCACATTGCATAATATTTTATCTAAAATTTATTCTCAGATGCTAATAGCTAGACTTACTAAATGGGCAGACAAGAATTCAGTATTAATAGATAACCAATATGGTTTTCAAAAATCAAACCATGATTGTGTATTCATGCTATTATATTTAAAACATTATCAATGAAAAAGGAACTGTATGTAGCATTCTTAGACTGGGAAAAAATGTTTGATCGAATAGATCGAGTAATGTAGTGGCAAAAATTAATTACTGCGAATGTAAGAACTAAACTTATTACAGCTTTGTGATCCATTTACTTAGTTGTAAAATCTGTAATCCGATATAATTCTACGAATTCAGATCCCATAACATCATTTATTGGAGTAAAACAAGGAGACCCAGCTACATACTCTGTCTTTTTTCCTAAATGATATTGTAGAAAATATTAATTGTAACTTAAATGGTATTTTAAGTATTGATGACGTAAAAGTATTTTTATTATTATTCGCTGACGACGGTGCATTAATTGCTTATTACCTTTAATCTCTACAATCAATGTCAATTGATGTACAAACTTACTGTAATTCATGGAGACTTCGATTAAACGTCAGTAAAACAAAAATAATGATATTTGAAAACGGTCGTCATACATCATATGACTTTTATATATGAAACTCGCGTATTGACATCGTTCAGTCATTTAAATATATTGGTGTTCATTTGTTTAAAAACGAGAACTGGAATCGCATGCAACAGAGAATCGCTCAACATGCTCAGTTCTCTCTTCATTATTTATTCATTGTTTACAGCCAATTAGAAATTACCTGTATCCCAAAAGATATATCTTTTTGACTCCCTTGTAATATCTACTCTATTATTGTGCGGAGGTATTGGGTCATCACGTTGAGGCAGATATTGAGATTGTACTTACGAAATTTTGTAGGAGAATTCTATGCGTAAAACGCTCCATAAACGTAGATGCTCTGTACGGCGAAGTAGGGAAGACACCAATGAATGTGTATCGAAAAACTATATTGATAAAATACTGGGTTAAATTACTTTAGATAATCAATCACTACTATTTAAAACTTATAACATGTTAGGAAATACATAAAATGGTAATAACTGGGCTAGCCAGGTTAAAGAAATACTTTATAATCACGGTTTAATGTATTTATGGCAAAACCAATTTAACATTCAAATTAACGTAAATTTGTTTAAATTGTAATTCTAATATGATCTAAAATGAATGTAATTTTATACTTATATGTCCAAAATTTAGAGAACTACGTAGAAAATATTTAAAACGTTACTGTTATACCTGGCCTACCTTACAAAAATTCAAAAACTTGTTAAGTGAAACTAACCGGATAATTATTTAGAATTTACGTAAATTTATATATTATGCTAATCTACTGAGAAACTAACAAACATTCTTCAATATTAATAAGCTCTTCAGAAAAACCTTTGACAATAACTATTGTATAAACATAAGTAAAACCCATACATTTCCATTGTATTTCATGTATTGTTTGCTATTAATATGTTACATGTTTTTATGCAATAAATATATTGAATTGAATTGAATATATAGCATATCAGTAGGCGGTGACCACCACCACATTTACTGTTCACCTCCATTGTTGCATCGATATGATACGTTCGTCTTGTCAGTGTCCATATCCAATTTTTATTTTATTGTCTTGTAATATTTTTTTGGTTCCCACTGCTTACTTCAAGCTCTTTTAAAATGATATTATCATTATTATGTAAATTTATATAAAGTGACTTAATGGTATTATTGTTTGGACGATGATTGCATAGTGCAATACAGTTACAAAAAAGCATTTACAAATGTATTCTGATATGGTAAAGACTTAAACATTTGTAATTCGTCAAAAGAACTCATTAAAATTGACTAAAACCATTAAATATTTCGAAATTTTTTCTTCTTTGACCTATCATAATTGTACCAGAGACGTAGATACTATTTATTTAGATAGTATAGAATTAAAAGGCTTCCCATCGGATTAGCCCACGCAGTAGGTTTGGTGAAGTAATGCAAAGTAATGCATAGTAATGCACCTTCATTACATGAATTTTGCATTCCAGTACCATTACAAGCAATGCAAATTGGCATGCAGTATCATGACATTGCATTACTTTCAGGAAAAGTAGTGCATTCCTACTGCATTACCATTACCAGTACCATTACCCCAAGCCTGTCTTATCCACATGAATAACACAGGAAAATCAATGATTGGATCTAATGAAGGAAATGTATTGTCTGTTCCTGCATGCTTTGAATTAAGTTAAGGTGTTATATAGCTTTTGATTAGTTCTTTGTAATCTACAGAATGTAATAAAAACATTCCTTTATTTCAGTGCCATAAATGTATTTATTTATTTTATTGAAACTACTTGTATTCTATATTTAAGTACAGTTAACTCTTAGGTAGTTACTTAGTGCCTGTGTGATATTTTTCCATCTTATTCTAAATTATTATACACACATAAACACACAAGCCTAGTTATGACTCCCTAATAGCTGTTTAGATGAAATTTACCCTCCTTTCGGTTTATTCCTATAGCGTGGATAAAAAAAACATATATGCACAAGCACAAAGGATACTTTTGCAAACAAATGCCTGGTTGGAATAAAATAAAAAAAACTGCGAATTTATCATTTTTTTATTGTTAACAAATATATACAAAATTTGTGAAAGCAGTTGTTTTAATAAAAAGAAAACTAAATATCAAAAATTATAATACATATTCTAAAATGCTAAATACGAATTAGTCTATCCAAATCATTTTACACAAAGGAACTTAAAACATCTAATAACCATGAAATAAATATATACAATATGTGTAAGAAAACAGTGCATTGGATATATCAGAAATAAAACGTAAGTTGCAATACATCTGATAAAGCTTTCTAACGATTACCCTCAACTAGCTGGAACTGAAAGAAAGAAATAATTTACCACTAGTATAGGGCCCAGGTTAGCCTGCACACCCGTGCAGTCTTTCGATATTTATCTTGGTTTCCCCTAAATTGGTAACAGACTGTTCCAAAAATGAAAGAGGGGCAAGTCCATTTAAGAAATTATGCAGGTAAATTGCAGACGACACAACTACATTCCTCATGATACCTGAGCTTCACATGTTTTCGTTAAAACGCATTTTGAAGTAAATGACTAAATAATGACACAAACAAAGGTATTCACATTTCTTGCAAGTCTAAAAGTTGTGTCTCTTTATTTTTTTATTTTATTTTCATGTCTTCCTTTTAATTTTGTTTTGAAAATTTTGATTGACAGAAAAAGGCATTCAAATGGTCATTTGGTCACCATTGATTTATAAAGTAGAATAAACATTTGTTAAATTGTATGCAAGCTTATTTAACACAATACTAGTATTTAAAAAATGATGTGCACTATTTGGAATATGGGCGGACTTATGTGTCAAAGTGCAGATCTGCGTGGCAAACATTCACGGAATGCCTTCCTTAACCAGGAGCACTAATGAAACGTCCGTCCTTAACCAGGCGCGCTTACGGAACAGTCGTCCTAAACCATGTGCGATTACATAACGCCGTCCTAAACCAGGCGCGATTACAGAACGGCCGTCCTAAACCTGGTGCGCTTACAGAACGGCCGTTTTAAACCAGGCGCACTTACGGGACGTACGGAGTGTCATTTTCTTAAGCTGACAACAGAATGGGTGTTGTTTACCACCACACATAATAAAACACTTTGGTATATCAATTATTTATAGTTATGTACATAATACATGGTATTAAATTATCCTTGTAGGTTTGAAAATGTAGGTTAAAGCTTAATACAAGATATATTTCACATCTTTCCTTTTCATCAAATAAAGTCCATTTATAAACATTCTATATTTTATTTCTATTATCTAAAAATGCATTCAGTATCTATTAATGTACCATTCTTATAAAAAAGCGAATGAAATTGACAATGTCATTGTTTCAGTGGAATTAATGGTCCTACAAATTAAAAGAAATGATGGCATTGAACTTTGTCAAAAGTCATAGCAATGACTTGCTAACTTATATTTTTCACAATTACAAAACGCCATGACTATTTTTGAAATATAGCTTCTAACAATAATCTGAGCCTGGAGGCATTTATGTTTAATAAATATATTCTTGTTTTTTTTTCCTTTATTGTAAAATATGCGACCTAAAATGATATTTAAACACGTTTGTTATAACTATACCTATGTGTGTACACATTATGAAACAAACTCTATTCTGTTCTGTTCTGATAAAATTAAATGAAACGGTGGCATTAATAATATGTATAACCTGCGACACTAAATTAACACAAAGAAATGATGGTTTGTACTTAAGATATCATGATGATTCTCATTATCTAATTGACAATGGATAGGACATTAAACAATTCACACAATATCATCTTAAACATCATATACCGGTAGATAACAAGTGGCTTATTCTAGAATAAGCGATGTTATGATTCAAGAATAAAAGATCATGATCATAGAATAGTCTAGAATAAGCGATGTCGCGATTGTCATAATTCTAGAATGAAAACATGTCATGGTATTTTCTCATAACTCCCAAATTCTTCATTTTTTAATATACACATGTTTATTGCTTGTACAGTAGAACTACAATATTTCTTCAATAATAATTCATATAATTTAATATCACAGAGATTCCACGTGCACAAAATGTTAACCAATAATATTAAAACATCTTTCGGTTAATAATGTATTCAGATCTTGAATATCACTTTTAGGGTCAATAGTCTTTTGGTGGTCGTGGAGGAGGAACTATTCCAAGATTCTCATAATCTTCCATTCCTGTCTCGTGTCCGGCCAATTCTTGTTGATTTGCGTATTGGACCAATGAGGCACCAGGATTAAGAATATGGTCGAACATGTTTTGAATAATGAAGAAGTTTGGACGATCCTCCGATTTGTCTTTTTGGCAATCGCATATAATTTGAAACCTGAAAATATTGTGAAATGTTCTCTTATTTAACGCAATTATTACAAACTCTGATCAATAGAGCATAGCTTCTAAAAGTAGTAAAGTTCAACCCTTATTTATCACAAAATACTTATATCTGTTTACTAAAACATACGAATGTAGTGATAAAAGAAAGAAAATCATGGAAAAATGTTTGACTCGGGTTTGGTTTCGGCGCCATATGGCCTTGTGTTCGTAGGCCGTAAGCAAACTTTACAACAACAACAACAACAACAACAACAACAACAAAAATCGATTTATATAATACCTCGTGATGGTAACCAGAGTTAAAAAGAATATGATTGTAACATTTCATAATTGTTATAACCTTATAACTAGCAAAATAGGACATGTATAAATACATGCATTTTATGTTTTACTGAAAAACATGCTTTCTTTCAGAATATTTGCACAGTAGTACTAGCAGGTCAGTTCGATGAAATACTCACATGGCGTCATCGCAATCTACCGGTTTACCAAGTCTGTAGTGCTCGTCACACACTTTGCCTTTTATCATCGCATTGTCGGTGATGTCATAGTACGGCAGGTACCCATTGGCAAACACTTCCCAAATGACAACCCCATAGGACCACTAGAACAAACAACAACGGAATTGTTTGTGAAAGTACATTTTGTGTAAAGTAATACATTATGAAACGTGTAATTTGAAGAAGAAAGTCGTTATGTACTTTGTTATACGATTCATGTATTAAACAACAATAACAAACAACAACAACAAAAACAACAACAAAAAATCGTAACAAAACCTATAATGCAAACGAAACTTAAATCATTTTTATCATTAAAGCACATGTATATTTTGATGACTTACAAAAGAAATATACCAAATACTGGTATTGCATTCCTCAACGCATCACTACTCATGAAATATTGTGCGATCCTCTGATATACATGCATTTAATCTTAATTAAACAAATAAAATTTAATGTGGATTCTTAAAAGATTACTCAATAACTTGTGTATTTTCTGTGTGAAAGGTAGAACTTTTTTGGTCACATTGATATTTAAACTATTCTCTGTACGATAAAGAAATTAATAGCCACGCAAAGGGCCATGTTTTCATCAAATAATATAAAGTCAAAATGTTAAGGACTAACCATGATTCATTTGAAATAAAGTTTTTCTAAATCAATACACAAAGCTTTTTTATGTAATAATGAAAATGTTAATCATTTTATCTGATATACAAGGGTTGTCCCAAAATCTCGTAGACTACATAATTTTCTCTTACCTCAAAATCATATGAAAACTCAAGATCATGTGTCATTTGAAATAAAGTATTTTTTAAATCAATACACAGCTTTTTTCGTAATTTCATGGTTTAAAGATTTCATACGTTTTATCTGATATATGACGGAGAAACAATAGCTGGCTTATAGTTGACCTAAGGTCATACTTACAACATCAGATTTCGCGTCATAGAAACCTTGACGTAAACTCTCCGGGGACATCCACCGTACTGGCTGATAGCGACCGTTGCTATGTAAATATTCATCCGGGAATAAATCGTAACTAAACGAAGCATCACTTATCTTCACCTCAAAATCTCGTGATACCCTACATTTATTAAAAAGAAATATAATTAAATAATACAATTAAATGCTTGTAAAACCTAACTGAAGTCTACAGAAATATTCTGTGTTGGGTAAACGGTAGAATTTGTGAAAGATTGTAATATGTAATGTTTTTAAAAAAATACGCGATGATTTGGTAACAAGAACAAATGACTGTTTTTTTTAAAAAAAATTAAGAGCACAATGCAAATCTAAAGACTCCGAATAAAAGAAAGCTACAATTATTTAGAGCTAAATTTTGTCATATTTACAAACTATTTGGAAACATTTTTTACTTTGGCAACGGAAGTTTTAAAAAACATGTACAGCAAACGTATTGATTAAATACATACACACAAAATATTCATTATACATGTATATAAAATGAAAAGACATTATCTCAAATGTCAAATAGAAAACAATGTTTGTAGATACAATTTACTTTCATTAGTATCAGTATCTCTAGATATCTTCGAAAATGACTTATTTTATATCCAGCACTACAAGTACACGTTCATAACAGTCTGTCCAACTATTTTACTTAATAAATATCGTATTGAATGTTCGTGTGCCGAGAGCGTTTCTAATGACCTTTACAAACAGTTAATATCCGGCCTAACGGCGAGTACCTTGTCATCATGCCAGGCACCAAACTGTTTGACAGACATCAGTTATTTCATTTAGTTTCCAGAACATTGGACAAAATAAAAAAAATTCAGCAGACAATGTTTTCAGCATTCAACATTGTTTCGTTAAACGTTAACTAAATAACTTTATACCAGCAATTTCTGGCAGCAAGGTCTTTATGTACAATGCTTTGTGAACTCAGATAGTTCATTCCCTCACATACACGAATACATATCTCCAACTTCTTTTCTGCATTCAGCGGCTAGAAAGAAAAAAAAACAAACAAAATATTTATTTTATGTTTTTCAGTGGATTACTGATTTATCCGTGAAAATTATATTTGATAATTTCACAGTGAAAATTATCAAAATATAATTTCACTTTTTTCAATGACGAAACTACCTTTTTAAGATTTTCCCCATGTGGTACCTCAATTTTATTTTTACTGACAATTCTGACAATGTCAGGCTGTTAAAAGAAATAGCAAAGCTGAAATAGATAAATAACTTAAATGTCAAAAGTAATAAAGAGAGAAAACTTACTTCTATTCATTCAAATTCCAATCACCAAATTTCGTCTCTAAATTTTTTTGTTTCGTTTTTACAGTCTGAAAAATACATTCCTTCCCCATGCAAAACTGCTCTTGATGACATTTGGGCATATTAAAGTATCCTACGAGCAATAACTGCCGTATGCTTTATGAAAAATTGAAAAGCATTGACATCCATCACTCGTAGAATAAGTAAAACAACCCAGCGTTCCTTAGCAGGCTTCCAAGTTTTCCATTTTCCTAGCTCCTTTTCTGAATGTTTTCACTTCTGTCAACACTTATTTTTGTCTGTTACAATCCTCAAATAAGTTTTCTTTCTTTTAAAAAGGGGTATGACTAACAAATCCAAATTATATCCCTCTAAATCTTACACAATTATTTTCCTCCCATGAAATACACAACTTTAAAAAATGGCTGCCGCTTACATTTTACAAAGCCAGGTCTACGCCACTCGTGAGAATACTGTTTTTAAAGCCCACTCGATGAAATAAAATTTCATCTTACACACAAACAAACAAATATCCTCTATTTATTACCAGATATGTATAAAACAAAACCTACTTTATGCACGCACAAAAGATTAAAATGAGATTTTAAAAGTTCTAAGAAAGCAGACGAACTGAATTATTCAGATTTTTTAAAAACATTTTCATAAATTTAATTACTCATGTTTTTTTGCAAGGAATGAATTGATTGTACATATACAAATGAAAATACCAAACACATAAGTGATATTACCTCTAAAATCAGGTATTCTTTAAGAGTCTTGTTTGCCATTGCCGGATAAATAATGTAGATATTTTTTATATCAATCGCAATTCCCTTCATTCTAAGGACATTGTCATTGTCAAAATCTTGAAGCCTGGTGCACTCGAGTAGACCAGTATTTAGCCATTCTGGCAGATCGCCTTCCTCTACAATGCCCAATTAAAAAAACTGTATTTACATTGTACATGTTAACCACGGTGTTCATTTGCTTCTAAAATATAAATAAAAATGTAAAAGCTTTCTACATCGGTGTATAGATTAATTGAACAAGCTACATTACGACAAATTGTTTTAATTAAATGATTCCGTCATAATAATTTAAAAATAAATTGGACAAGGTGTGGTACTGAGATAGGTACCATCTTAGTGAAGTATATTGCAATCGAAAACCATCAGATAAAATAAAAACTTTCATATGAAAGAATTTATAGGCTACTGGTGAAAATAAGCCTTCATCTACTACAATCATCGTAAGTTCTTGTTAATCATTAAAGGCATTTCTTTAAAAGAAAACCAATACCTCGTAAAAATCATGGATCGAAAATGGGATTATTTTTCACCTTGTTCTTGTAAATTATATACACTACCTGGATATTTATCAATTAATGTTTTGATTGTAAGGCTGGATCCAGAATACGGTGACGATGTGGATGCATTGTACTGTCCGCTTATAACACGTATCTTCTTTCCTGGAAATACAGAAGGAAAATCTGACCATCGGTGAAGACAGTGCAAAATATATTTTCTATACAAACGTGCCATCATTAAGTAAGTAACACAAAACAGATATTGAGAATCATAAAACATGTTTAGATTTAAATATATTTCTCAGTCATACTTTCTCCCTTAACATTTGTATTCTACGAGAATTTTTTTCCAAAATACTACTTCTCGTTGCCAAATGTACCAAAATTTAAATGTTAAAGAATAACTCGTAACCAGAATGTTATAAAGAAATTGATTAAATTTATTCACTATGCAACTTTAGCTAAAGAAACACCAAACTTTAATTATTAATTTATAGTCTTAATATTTATATCATGACTGGGCTATTATACAAAATTAAATTAAAAAAAATATATGTAATATTACTTTTCTCGTAATTAGATGTTTTATGCATTGGTTTATTTATAAGCATACACGCCATTATTGTTTTTAGCAATAGACATTATGTTTGTGCTTAAATTAATGTTTGAATTTTGAATCTTGTATACGGTCAATAAGTTATATGAAGCTGCCTGCTTATGAACAGAAAATAATTTAAAATTATCCGCGTTATAACGTACAGCGGATAATTGTTGTCTTGTCCTTACAGTGGTAATAAAACTGGATTGATCAGTTTTTTGCTTGACTGCGTCGGAGTATATATAGTCACAGGGCGTGACTAGTATTCAGTTTCTATCGAGTATCTCACATTATTATAAATTCAAATTTAGCCTTTCAAAATAAAGATGACTTTGTAATAGCATCATGAATGTGGTTCTTAAATCATTATTTTCTTGTTGTTCGTAAAACTTATATGCATGTTGTAATGCAATGGCTTCACAGAGTAGACCTGATATAAACCCAGCGGTTGATGAAGGCGACTTTATGACCGGACAGGGCATGGGTCCTCCTACGTCCCTGCTGGTTTGTTGCATTTTTATACAATACGTAATTCTTTCAGAAGTGTTGCGCAGCCTGCTCGCGGTTAATCTGGTTTGTCTGCATATTGTGATTATCTGCCACAGGTTTTTCATGATTGTAACTGAGGAAATTTTTGTCAAAGTGATATGATTTAGTTTGATAAAACCCGAACGATTGTTAAATATAATGGAGCACTTGCAAGTATTTGTTCATATATCATTAAATTATGTATTCATGTTTATGTTTGTACAATGCATATAATATGCTTATGTCAGCCTTCTTCATGCTGTTTCTCTCAATAATCAAATCTCGAAATGCACAACTGTGTTGTTGTTTTATGTTAAGGTAGAGATGAGACTTACAAATCAATACCAATTGTGCAAGATTTTTGTAAGGTTTATCGGATAAAATATGTATTACATGTACTTTTTTTTACTTCAAAAAACGATAAAAGCAAAATAGATCGTTTTGTTGATGACACTATAGTCGACGGACTTTTAGAAAACTGTTATAATTTTTTTGCCCGACATCTGTTTTTTTACATACTTTCTATTGACATTTGAGATTATCACCATTCACAGGTAATGACTCTGTCAGTACTGACCAGTAACATACAATTTCTTTATATGAAAAATATGTTTGCCTGTGGTAGACGAAGACTTACATTAGTCATTGCGTCTTGAACGAAAAAAAAACAAAACGCGCAAGACATGCGTTCATATGAAAGACCGGTAGTGACATATAACTTCAGGCATGAATGTTGTCAATCCAAACGCAAACAAAGTCTATAAATTTTAATAGAGGTGTTGTAAATTTAATTGTGTGAAAGAAGAAATGGCCGGAGGAGATATTTTTACTACATTGTTCATGAAGTTATCAACTGAGCTTCACAAATTCACCATTTCAATTTCATGAATTCACGCGTTGAATTCTACAATCCCAGCTTCCCAAATTTACGATTTTAACTTAATCAATGGTAAATTAATGAATTTAAAATCGAGAAATCGTAAAGTTAAATTTATGAATTCATGAAATGAAAATGTTCCCAACCAGCCTTTCGTACATTACGACAAGACATCAATTCTCAGCACTATTTCATCGGTTTGGCTTTAATGAGTAATGTTAAGGTCATACGGCGACTTTTCAGCTTTACTGGTAGAGGAAAACCCGAGGCGCGCCTACATCCATTATTTAACGCACGAGTAGGTACACGAGTAGAACCACCGGCGTTTCGTAAGCTAGCTTGGCAGATTCATCACATTTTAGTATATTACAAATTATTTGTATAAAACATTTTTTGTAAGCCTTCCCTCCAGGTTAATTATGGCAAAATCGTAATTAATTGATTGTACATTGAGTATATCAATAACGAACAAAAAGTTATTACAAGCATTCACCTTTGTGCGTGCATATTTTTCCAGGGTCTATGTTACTTCTTTCTATTATAGAACTGTTCACGACTTTCCCAACGTGGTGTAATAAACGCTTGCAAAAATCATCTGCAATTTCCTTCGACGTCTTTGTATGTACCTCGGCTGACTGAGGTTGAATCACAGCAATTGGATTAATTGTTGTATAGTTGTTTGGTTTGGTTTTACCAGTTGTAGCTGTGTTTAAAAAAAACACATTATTTCACACTGATTTTACTAAAAGTTGAATACAAAAGTGAGAAAAAAAGATAGTTGCAGAACGTATTTTCAGGAAAATCGGTTACACCATTATTAGGTGATAAGTACAGGAATATATGAGTTTATTGCTATCACTTTAAGAGAGAGAAAAAAGAATTATATCACTATGAAAACGTTGAAAGGGAAACGACTCACCTATTTCAAGCGGAATACTGTCATCAGGGCTATCACTGTTACTTTTGCGACGACATCTGATAACGCAGACGATAAAGGCGATGACGATGATAAGGAGCAGACCTGCGCTAACGGCTATGTAGATAAACTCTGTGTTAGTCCAAAATGAGTTGATCTTTAGTGTACCCCATTCCACTTCAATGTTACCTATCTTCACCTTTTAAAATATCATACATTTATTTTGTTTATTTTGCATGTCTCAGTGGTGTTTGCTTTCATTACATCAACGATTCGAACTTGCTTTCTGAAGAATTGGTGGTTGAAGATGAATGAAAAACAATTGATTCTACACCCTTTTTAGCTACTATTTGTACTTGAATTGTGCATTTATGAGAGCATTCCCATAAAGGCAACATCACAAATCAACGTAAAGGAGTAAGTACTGAGTACATCAAATTTCATTAACGGCAGAACTTTACCAGCTCTAACCAACCAAACTATTGTCAGAAACGAAACTTTTTGTGGTTAAGATTTATACTTTCAGAGCCATAACATCAGACTAAATTACGTCAAATTTGAATTTTTATACAAGTTATTCAGGATGCCAAGCAGCTTCCCATACAGGTACAGGATTCTGTCCTTCCGTTTGGCTTTTTTTCAAAATTCCAGAAATGTTCAGTAGATACAAAATAAATAATCGAAACTACAACATGTGTATAAAAGTTAGAATAATATTTGCAATTTTAACAAATACTTTCTTTTAATACAAAGACATTCTTTTCATCTTTACAATTTATTTGTTACCTTGACTGTAACGGATCTTGCTGTACCTGGGAAACTTTCTCCCGGATCACACGTGATAACGTCGTCATGGCGGCTTAGAATAGCACATTTTTTATCTCCAAGAGTAATAGAAACGTCGCTGTCATGACAGGCATCATTCAAACGCTCACCCTAAATATACAAAAACATAGGAAACAGTAAGTCAGTGCAAAGCCAAAAACCATCTATGTCTTTGGCATCAATTTACCACAGACACTTTCAGACATGTTTACATTTACATGCTTTTATAAATAATGAACGGGTATTCGAACTAGTGATACAAAAGTGATGAAAGTTAAGTTTAAAATCTTTTGAAAGGCAAACCTCTAAATGCTAAAAGAAAATGTCTTATTTAATGCACTTTTATCTCATTTGTCACAATTATAACATATTCATAACATATTCTTTACCACTAAAATTTCAGTAAAGTGACCTCATTTAGTGCACATATCAATTAACCTTCGTCGCTAGGCTATTTTTAATTGCTAATAGTAAATTTCGGTTTTCTTTATCGTCACTTAGGAATAAACGTATATTTTGGAAGGTTCTTCCTATCGGCTTTTAAAGAAAAACGTTATTTTTGAAAAGTTTTCCCTATCGGCACTTAAGGATAAAAGTAAATCTTGGAAAATCCGCCTGATTTGACGGGAACAACCAACTAAAGGATAAAACTTAAATTTTGGAAAGTTCGCCTTACAGCATAGGAACTAACTGATAAAAGTAGATATCAAAAAGTACGCCAGGATAGAAGTAAGTTTTGTATTACTCCTGCGATATAGTGAATAACTACATACTCCCTACTGTACAAGGATAGAATATCCCTTATTTGTTATACTCATTAGATGCTTTTCATATATACGATATAAGTTTTATTTTTGTTGTTGTTTGTTTCAATTCCTTTTTTCAAAGGAGGATGAAATAATGAACAGAAGCATTTCAACATCTAATCAATGCTTATGAGTTTATCTATGATAATATAAAGCATGATTAAAAAAAAAAAGAATTAGGTCGTCTTAAACAAAGGTATTAAATACCCACACATTTTAATTTATTCAACAGAAATCAACGAAATGCATACTAGTGATTACTATATTTTAGAAAACAAACTGTTATTAAAATATCACGTTATTGCAAAATTGTAGAAATAAAACTTGCTACATGAATTCAACGAACAGCTGCTTATTTGGTATCTTCTTTCAGAATTTTGAAAAGAAAGTTTGGTTATTCAAAATATACAAATAACTAAAATGATATGTCATTTCAGAATGTTAAAAGCACTGTACCTTAACTTTGAATATATCATCAAACGTATTCCGGAAGGTTTCTGACATGCCGGTATAAATAGAAGGGTCCTTTACTACTTCCAATACAGAGCCCTGGCTTTCAGTGACGTTCTTGTTTGCCATAAATCCGTCCAGCCAAAATCCATACGAGACATTCCGATCTTTATCATCTATATCGATAGTAGGAGTCGGACACTTTAATGTCTTTTTTGTTGCCATACACGGCTAGAGATATTAAACAGAAACACAGTCAATAATTAGCATCATTAAAGTGACATTATTCTCATATTTTCACAGTCAAGTTGAGCTGAATTTACTTTATATTTCTTAAGATTGACTGTCAAAATGGTGTTTGACCAACAATTGATATTGAAAAAATATTTAAGATAAAATTATAAATCTACCTAAAATTTAAAAAGACCAAGCGTTATACGTCAAATCTAACGGATATTCACAGAAATTTCATTTAGATCTGTGTGTTATCTATTGTTTATGTGAACTTGATTATTAAATTAAAAGGGATTATGGCAAAATGAAAACATTTTTTGATCTTCACCCGTTTACTCACTTTACACCCTCACTTTACACCCTAGGATGGGCATAATGTCATAAGATTTCCAACGAACCTAATAATAATTCATGGAAAGAAAATGCGTGTATTTTAGATACATTATTCACATTTCTAACGAAAATGATTTGATAAAAAGTAGCTCACGATTTTCTAAATATGGATCACTTAAGGAAGAATCTATTAAGATTACCCAAGGTTCCATGCAAGTGCATTTCACTGATCTTGCATATTTGATTACATACATAGAGATTTCATGTAAGTAATTTTCTACACATTAAACGGGAGTTTGATGGGAATTCACAATTTCTATATAAAAAACTAAGGTAAGTAAATCACCTACCGATTGAAACTCCTTACCACCATCTAGATAAACTCGCAACTTTGGATACGGAACACTGTCAAGATTGTCACCTCCAACTTGTATGATGCAGCCCCCACTATCAAGCCAAAGAGAAACATTCTTATGAACAGCATACATGTACAATTGAATAAATAAAAAAACTGTTTGTAATAAAACTGATAAACACACAATTTAAAAATCTGGAAATAAACCGATCAAATACTTCAATTTCATATTACTGGCATACAATGTAGTTGCATAATTGAAAATGATTATTTTCAAACATGTTTACTTTCGATGCCAAATATATCTAATTGCAACGGTAAATGGAGCACTTCTTAAAAGTCCATCTGAGTTAGCTGAATCACTCCACCTTAGCTAGGCCACATACACGATGCCATATTTAGAACAAGACATTTTGCATTATTCAAAAATAAAACTATAGCGGAAGTAACCAACACTAAACTGTACTAGAAATTCGGTACAAGTACTGATAATGTATAATATGCAATAAAAAGCATTCTGCGTGCATACATATTTAAACTAATATTGTTATAACAAATTTCCACAAAATAAAAATCTGGAAAAAGGGCATAAATTTAGAGTACTGGAGATCCCTAGTGAAAAAAAATCGAAAGGTGAAAACTGCTAATCAAGTTGAGTCTCATTATGAAAAGTATAACATCTTTCATGCCCCCTAGCACCAGCTTAAGAGTACACTAATACATATCGGAATCAATGATCCCAAAATGTATTTGTAAAAGTGATAAACAATTTTTTTTAATTTCAAAACAATTAAATGTAAATAATGCAATGCAAAATAATTATTACGCAGACAAAATGATATTTCGTTGAACCTTAAAACTGTGGATTAATCTATCCACGAAAACCACGAAAATTAGTGCCAACGAATAATTCATGTTTTACGGTACCTTGCAAATGTTCTTAAATTCGATGTGGGTACTATCATCTGGGGATTGTTCTTGTATTTAAACATTTGTGTTGTGTTATCAAAGTTGTCATCATTGTATGTTTGACCTCCATAACTCCAGACTAATCTCATTGGTTTACTTTCAATTTCTGTACTTTCCTTTGTTTTGAATACTATGAAAGTAAGATTCCTGAAACAAAGGAGAAATATACAAAATTGATTGGCGGTTACACAAAGAACTATAATTGACCATTCATATCTATCTACCCTTATCCAATTCCCCATGCCTTGCCTATTGATCTTCACCATCTACATCTAAATCTTTTGTAAAGATATTTCAGATTTCCCCTCAATCATCTTAATATTTAATATTTTTACATGTCTTATAATCTTTGTACGGTTTCTCACAATTTCCTTGGAATATTTTGTCTGATCTAGAGGCATGCAGGTTTAATTCATTTTTTTTTATAAATACTGTATGTGTTTTTACTTGAGAATTATACATATATACTAAACAAATCACTGTCTAATTATTTTCCCTATTTGGAAAATCACATACAATATATCTTTATGCATTAAAATAATTCATAAGGACTAAACTTAACTAAGCTTACTAAAATATGATGATAGACTACCAATAATGACTGAAAACTAACGCAACAATAACAACAGTAAGGCATGGTTTCGTCTAATTGTAAATTTCCTGAAGATACGCATAAAGTATAATTATACATGTGTAACGAATGGGACCTGTGAAAGAATGTCCGTTAAGAGACATACACTAAAAGTCATTATCAATATCCTTTTTAAACATTTTATGCTTTGTGTTCTGATCCTTTTTTAAGAATTGTATTGTACATGTTATTCATTATTGTAGGTAAATTCCGTTTGTTCAAAATTTTTGAAGTAAAGTATGTTTACACTAAAAGTGTTCTTCATCAATGTTAATCAACTCGGGAATATTTAAATTAGGCTCTACTCGGGATTCCTCGTCTAACACAGGTCTTTGGAAACTACAGAAAGGGGCATTGGAGTGTATTTTTAAGTAATTTGACTTATAAATAACAGCAAATTATAATTTACCTTTCAACAATTTCTTGTTCTTCACCACCTATGGTAAGATTTACATCTGCGTTTGTACCAAGTAAGGTTCCAGTGAGGGTAAGCAATGTTGACCCAGCCTTTGGTCCAAATAAAGGTTCCAGTTTCAACGCTGTCGGTATCTAAAATAGTTAAATTAGTCTTTGTAGTAACTTACATTGTAACTCTAATGTCACTTGAATTTCAATCTTCATATAACACCCATTGCACATGAAAAAATTGTTTGAACAACAAAGAATTTTCCGGCGTTTTTTTTATAGTACAATATGTTAATAAGATGGATAATTTTCTTTTGTCATTTCTTACTGATTTATAATTAATTCTTCACATTGATGTAATTTAAGCTCATCAATTGCTTGCTTTCGGGATAAGAAGGCGACACAACTCCTGTATCAGTACAAAAGGTCTCATTATTTCTTGAATACAATCGCAATATAATCACCCCTTTTGTGTTTATAAGACACCGCTTGCAATGGGCGTCTAGTAGTAGTAGATATGCATTTGTTCATACAGCAATTGGAAAAATTATAGTCTTGATTTTGTGTATTTTTTATTTTAACAAAATCACACTGTTTTAACATTTTCTATTACAAAAAAGCTTTTATGATGTACAACATGTCACAGACATTAAAGGGATTAGAATTAACGTTTAACTGAAGTGATAGTGCCATGTTTGAATATCATATTCTTCTTTCCATTATCTAATTTTATCTACATAATAAATAACGTGCCAATGAGCCAGTCTATAGCCGATCGTTCTAAAACTTAAACGTTGAGAGAGGTGATAATTGAGGCAGTGTCACTTACTTCATTTGCTTCGTCTCTGTTGAAGTTCGGCTCCGCTTTAAATTGTCATATTAAATTTCATATTATGCTCCATATGCTAGCATTTAGTCTTCGTAATCGGGGTAGAATGAAACCAGGACAACTTTTATCAATATCACTTGTCGAATCATTAAATTACAAGTTACAAAGCCTAAACCACGCCCACAATCAGAGAGGCGGTTCTCACTCAACCGTTAAGAAAGTACAACAAACCGGTTACGCTACGGCCTGTAAGGGGGGGGGGGGTCAATGCAGAACAGTTTGTCCTCAAACATTATGTAATTCGTGCCAATATTTAAATGAGTATATTCTCGGCACATATTGTCTTGAATTTACTTTAAGTATTCCAAATATTTAAATTTTAAATTATTTGTTATCCAATTTGTTTTGATTCGACCAGACGTTTCAGTCTTTGTCGCAACAGACAAACATTTAAGAATTTCAGACCTGGTATTATTTTGTGAATTTATGCATTAGGTTATACTTTTTCACAAAAATATGCAACTTTATCATTTAACAACGAGCACAAACCGAAAACATGGTGAAAAACTTGATTTGTGTTTTGAATATTCAACTATAATAGAGATCGATTTTCAATGCTGATTGACTGTTCACATCATTTGGCGGCGTCTTTGATGTGCAGCATCAACATTTAACTTGTTGTTGTAATGTTTTACGCAGAATCAAGTCTGTAAAGGTCATAAGGCGACTTTCGAGGTTTACTGGTGAAAAAAAACAACTAAAAAACTTAAATGCCCCTCTGTATATTATCGTATATTATCTTAGGGCACAAACGGGTCGCAGAGTGGAACCACCGACGTTTAGAAAGCTAGCTTGATAAAAAAATCGTGAAACTTGTGCAATAACTATAATCACGAAACTTACGCATTGTCTGTTATTAACTTCTGTAGGATTGCTTTCACCAAAACAAGGACATTGACCAGTATCTTTGTCACATATAAACGAAGCAGATCCTACAATATTACACTCACAAGCATCACACCCGTCTGTTTTGTTATCTGACAAGCCGTAATATTCATCTTTGCATGTTTTACACATTTTACCTGAAATAACGTTATAGTTTCAATACGCTATGCTTAATTATTAATTACAAGTTTCACACTTATCACTATCATTATGTTATACATACTAATAACGAACAAAAACAATTAATTATTTAATTGTTTATGCTAATTAATTAATTAATTAATCGTTTATTTTATTTATTAATTAAATGAATTGTTCTTGGTAATTAATTAATTAATTAATTAATTAATTAATTATTTGTTACGTAGTAAATACAATAATTATAAGCCTTTCTTTCCTAAATAATAATAATAATAATTATAATAATAATAATAATAATAATAATCATAATGATAAAAGGAAAGTATGTTTCTTTTAATGCTCTATGTTACTGAAGATGCAAAAAAGAAGATACATGTATAACTACGATATAATTAGAATAAGAACCAGCCATAATAATAAAAAATATACATATATATTTAGAGCGAAATCGATATATATTCATTGAAAACTGCAGACATTATTCAAGAGTTTGTGCATTTGTTAACAGCTCAAGATTACAAGTTTTCATAGTCAACACAAATTTTCATGCAGACATTTGCCAATGATTCACCAGATTACTTTTTGTAAATCATTATATCTTTTCTTAATTAGTTATCAAAATGATCTATACACAGATGTTAACTCCTTCAACAGATTAATGCAACGGATGAGCACAAAGTATATTTTGCAGGTGTGTTGTGTTTTTTTTACATTGAAAATCTGAATGTAGGACAAAACCCCTCATGTCAAAACCCCAGACCTCAAAATTTTATAGAGTAAACAAAACACCACAAATGAATTTTATTGAGTGGACAAAGCCCCACATCTTTAATTTTTATAGAGTGGTACTCTGCAAAACTTTAATGTGTGGGGTTTTGACGAGTAGGGTTTTGTCCATCTTCCAAAAAATCTTGTCAACCCCTACACTTCAAATCATAGCAAAACAAACAAGAGGACAATGATGGCCCTAAAGTCGCTCACCTGTATATAGGCCCCCGGAGCAGGACCAGTTTAAACCCCAGGGCTTTTATTTGAACAAACTTGGAAGACACCGATTAGAAGATGTTTCATGCTAAACATCTACGGTCTAGCTTCTTGGGTTATTTAAAAGAAGATTTTTTCTCAAGTGTTATTCTTTACACATATAGTTAAAAGCATTGACACACCTGGGGCAGGGCCAGTTTTGACCCCAGGGCTTTTATTTGAACAATCTTTGTAGACACTTACAAGACAATATTTTATGCTTAATATCTGAACTCTAGCTATTCAGGTTTTTTTCAAACAAGATTTTTAAGTTTTTGCTATACACATATAAGGAAAATCAATGTCCCTTGGGATGGGGCCAATTTTGACCCCAGGGCTTTTATTTGAACAAACTTTGTAGACACTCACCAGAAGATGCTTCGTGCTTAATATCTAAACTCTAGCTATTTGAGTTTTTTCAAAGAAGATTTTTAAGTTTTTGTCATACACATATAAGGAAAATATATGACCCCGGGGCGGGGCCAATTTTGACCCTAGGGCTTTTATTTGAACAAACTTGGTAGACACTCACTAGAAGATGTTTCATGCTTAGTATCTAAACTCTATCTATTTGTTTTTTTTTCAAAAAAGATCTTTTAAGGTTTTGTTAAAAAACATATAAGGAAAATGAAAGACCCCCGGGGCGGGGGCAATTTTGACCCCAGGGCTCTTATTTGAACGAACTTGGTAGACATCTATTAGAACATGTTTCATGCTATATATCTTAGCTCTAGCTCTTTGCATTCTTTAAAAGATTTTTTTTAAAAGTTTTTACAATATGCATATAGGGAAAATCAATGACCCCCTGGGGCGGGGCCAATTTTGACCCCAGGGCTTTTATTTGAACAAACTTGGTAGGCACTCACTAGAAAATGTTTCATGCTTAATATCTAAACTCTAGCTATTTGGGTTTTTTCAAAGAAGATTTTTTAAGTTTTTGCTATACACATTTAAGGAAAATCAATGACCCCCGGGGCGGGGCCAATTTTGATCCCAGGGCTTTTATTTGAACAAACTTTGAAGACACTCACTAGAAGATGTTTCATACTTAATATCTAAACTCTAGCTACTTGGGTTTTTTCAAAGAAGATTTTTTAAGTTTTTGCTATACACATATAAGGAAAAATGAATGACCCCCGGGGCGGGGCCAATTTTGACCCGGGCTTTTATTGAACAAACTTGGTAGACACCCATTAGAACATGTTTCATGCTAAAGATCTTAGCTCTAGCTCTTTTGTTTCTTTAAAAGAAGATTTTTTAAGTTTTTACTATATGCATATAGGGAAAATCAATGACCCCCTGGGGCGGGGCAAATTTTGACCCCAGGGCTTTTATTTGAACAAACTTGGTAGACACTCACTAGAAGATGTTTCATGCCAAATACCTAAGCTCTAGCTCTTTGGATTTTTTAGAAGAAGATATTTAAAGTTTTTTCATTTGGTTGCAATGGCAACCAGAGTTCTGCATGGAATGGAATTCGTTGAACAACTTTGTTAAGGCTTCACACAAGGAACATAACTGCGAAGTTTCATTATGATCTGCCATATGGTTTCAGAGGAGATGTCGTTTTAAAAGTGTGAACGGACAACGGACAACGTACGACGGACGACGTACGACGGACGACGGACGAAGAGTGATCCTAATAGCTCACCCTGAGCATATGCTCAGGTGAGCTAAAATAGCAAAATGTTCTAACTGGCAAATTACGATTACTTTTGCAAATACTGAATACAATGCATAGATCCCTGATCTGTCCAATTCTAATGATCAGATAAGTGGATACAATAAGAATTTCAACACAACCTATTTGTTATCAAAAGAGCACATGTAAATGTTGGTAGATAAATCTAACGTTATTAAAATGAAAGGTCAGAGTAGGGATCTATCATAAAGAAAATGACATATCTAGAAATGTGTCCATAGGACAAGGGTGCCCCAACACTCCACTGCTTTGTCAATCTTATGACTGTAGGTCAAATATTATTTGGACAACATATGCTACAAGTTGAAAACAAAAAATCTTTTACTAAGTAAAAGGCAAGAACTACTTAATAAATCCACAACCAAATTCAAGGTACATTATACTGTACACGTGGGGACCAACATTCTTGTAAATTTTCAGGCCTACAGGTCACATACTTTTTGAGCTATGTATGAATAAGTTGGAAATTGCAGATGTGTACTAAGTCAAGGGCAATAGATCTAGCTCTAACAAAACTGAAAAAAACACATGCAAAACCCCAGGTGCATAGCTTCACAGTGATGTTGATCATTATTCCTGTAAAATTGATTGATTCTAACTCAAGCACTCAAGAACAAATAACACAACATAATGGAACTTTTTCACTAAGTCAAAGCAAATAACTCTAGAAATACGGGATAAATCCGCAAGCGAACAGATGTACAACAAAACATGCTGACCAACATTCCTGTAAAGTTTCCTGACTCTTTGTCAAATACTTTTTGCGACACAAAATGAGAACGGATGGACGGACAAACAAGGGTAAATCGAAATGTTCCAGTATAGTGGGAGGCACAAAATTGATATGTGGTAAATAATACAAAGAGGTAAATGATAAATAAGCATGCAATAACCTTCTACATTAGCTCTACAATAGCATTCGCCTTTGTCACTTTCACAGTAAGGCTCCGCCACCCTGGTGCCGGATGGATCACATTCGCAGGCAGCACAACCGGAAGGACTAGATATATTATAAAAGTTAGGCAGACATTTGTCACATTTACCAGACGTAATGTCTACGTTTTGTTTACAGTTACAGGTTAGATCATCACTACAGCTAGTGATACCGTCAGGATTACATTCGCATGCTGTACATCCGCTAGAAGAAAAGTTCGCGGTATTGTGCTTGCAGACGGAACATTGTCTACCTTCAATTTTGTCATGACAGCTACATTGCCCATTTACCTGTTAACAAAAAATAGAATATATTAAGGAACAGATCTACTCAGAAATGAAAATCGTAAGCCCAGATTATTTTGCCTTTTCACAATTAAGTTAAATTTCCATGTCTTAAATGTTGACTTAAAAATGGACAACTGCCTACATTGACCGCCCGCGACCAGGTTCAGTCAAAACAAGCCTGTAAAATTTCAAATTATGCCATGTTGATCGACCTTTCTATTCCAAAGTTTTTAATTTTGTACTTGTTCATGTCAATATGATAAAAAGTGTAATTAGTAGTGCAATTTCTGTTTCATGAACTATTTCAATTAATTGTTATCCCCTGATTTTTTTAAGTGTATTTTGAATGAAGATAAATCTTCAAAATGAAGAGTAGCGAGAAAAAAACCCTATGTAAATAATATTGTTTAAAGAATAGGGATGTAATTATAATCTAGTTTCCAAAACAATAAAGTGAATGAATTTAGCAACAGAAAATGGTGGATATATATAATGTATATTTAACAAAACTAAAACTTGTGCCTGAAGATGGCAATATGAGATACAAGAAAATAATTCCAAAGATGTCTCATTTTTCAAACATTTAATGAACATTTAATAAAAAATATTGGGAACTGACAGAGTCGAAATTTACCTAGCTTGACTTTTAGTTAGCTAAGTATGGGTAAGAGTTTGTATTAAGACGACCGTAGGGAGTCTTATCGAACTCTTACCCATATAACTGCAAATCGGCTCTTACAACGCGATATCAGATAAAAATATAGAAAGTGTCACCTCTTTAATTAAGCATAACATTATTTTTCCCCAGCAGTCACGTACAAACAAGGATGGGGTCCAATTATTTAATTTGGCATGTAAAACAATGAGTTTTCAACAATACCTAGGATTGCTAATGCAATTCATTCCTGTCATTTGAAACAAAATAATGTTTTGCTTACTTTTTCTAGAAAATATAAACAGTCAGCAATAATTAATAATTGACATTTTTCTTAGAGTTAAAAGGATATCAAAAAGTTACTGTGTACGCATTTGTCTCTGCGAGCTGAGCTCCACGTGTATTATTTATGTAATAAATTTGAATGTATCCTCACATTGTTACAGTGTTATCAGTCTTCAAGAAACACCTGCCCTCCGCTAATTAAAATATGCTAATCACAATTTTCACTATCAGCACTGGTTTCTTCATGAAAAAGCGGTTACACTAATTACTGCCGAGTAAGAGCCGATTTGCAGTTATATCCGTTTACGACATCAAAATGCAATCGGAACATCTCGGCTATTATCAATAATAACCTCAGATGAAAGCACTCAATATATCAACTTTTAGCATTAAATTACTATGTGTGTACATGTTTAGATTCTAAGCATTAGACCGAAATTCCGTATCCGGTCTCTGTATTCTTACTATTGTTTGATTTCTTTCCGGAAAGGACCGATCGAGAAGATGCGATTAATAAAAAAAGGTTACCTCCTCACATACAGTGTCATTACTTCCGGTCATGTTGCATTTACATGGGTTGTTACATACAAATTGCTCAGCACTGCGATAGTAGCCGGTTCCACAACCATCACAATGTGACCCTTTTGTGTTAGAGGACGATAAACAACTACACGTGTAGCCATCTGTGACAATCTTGCACGCATTATCGTTACCATAACAACTACATCTGAACAATACACATGTTATTAAAGTCGTAAAACTTGCTTCAATCATTTATTCATTGGACAAAATATTTATACAATTAATTTGTAAGACAAAAACTCAAAAAAATGAAAACAAGATGTTAACACAGTAAATTATCTAAGAATATTATAAAAATTAAAAATTTTAAGCTAAATATTACATATTTACCAGAGTTATGAAATGCAACACTTCGCAATATATATTCTTTGAAATGATATTTAGTTAAAAAAAATCTAAAAAAGGTACAATATTCAATAATATTGAACAATTAGTCAGGCGTGTTTCGTCTTTGTAATCAGTCTGCTGGGATTTCATCAATCCTAAACCCATCGAAGCCGAACGGCAGTATCATAATCGCCTTTGTCACCAATAAAGAGTCAGTTTAGCATGCAGCCAGGCAGTCATACCAGGCTCTAAACCGTTAGCTTATTTTGTGTATCCACCAAAATTCTTATACATTAACTCAAAGTTAATGCAGGACAAAACCATTACACAGATTCAACAAGTTTCAGATTTCTCGTTAATAATCTACATAAAATAAATGAGGTACTTACCTAGCTTCAAGCGTTAGTTCACCTACAGAAAGATAGTCACTTGTAGTGAATTTAGCCTGGACAATAACTTTATCAGCTATGAACTTTTGGTATTGTGTCCTACTAGTAATAGATCCTTCATTAAAGTCATAAGAAACGTTTCCACCATTCACACTGAAAAAATATTTACAAAAAGTAACGTTCATCCGATTGGCTCCGATCGGATTTGTACTCCGGGGGTTGCTCATTTAATCCTTGGGCTGGGCAAAATTCTTCCGTGGCATTTGAACTCGGATATTTCATTTAATGTGTCACTTGCAGAGAAACTGATAATTACTCGTAAGTTATTAAGGAAAGAGATTGACCGACTGCCAAGACATGAACAAATATGTGTTAAATCGGCCAAGAGAACAAACAAACAAACAAATAAACAAACAAACAAACAAAATATAACATAAAAACTTGGACGTAAGTTGCTTAATTCAGGGTTGTCATAATTCGTTACATGCACTCATGTGTCGCAGGGTGATGAAAATGCGCAGCCAGCTGGCCTGAATTCTAGAACACTATTCCGCACCTCAACCCACTGTGCTAACATGTTCTCCAAAATTAGTGAACAGTTATATACCGTGATATACGACAATTTGGATTCGTTAGGATACATCATTTACACATTTCGATACAGCTAGGCAGTAAGTATGTCATGGTGATATAAAGGCTTTCCATATTCCACCTGACCCCGCCCCAGATCAGGATTGAAAAGTAAAGCTGCATGAATATTCTCTTTTTGCCGGTCAAGACCTTTGTTATTCCCTGCCTTGCTCACTTGTGCAATTAATTACATTGTTTATAGATAAAAATCTAACATATAAAAAGCATATTGTTTCTTTGAATAATAACTAAAACAGAAAACATCGCACCTGGAAACAAAGTTATTGCTTAATAAGAGACTACCTTAACATCTGATAGACATTGTTCCTAAGTAAGACAGGTAAGTTTTTATATATTCTAGGTTTTTAAGTCACATCGCCACTGTTATGGTCATATGACGATTTTCAAGCATTACTGGCGGAGGAGGATATCTGGTACCCCTTCTTGCATTATATCATTTCAGGCACGACCTGACACCCTAGTAGCAACACCGACTTTCTATAAGCTAGCTCATTATAGTGTTCGCTAATGAAGAACCCAAGATACCTATTGGGAGAAAAACTCACAATGGTAAGAGGCAAGTGGTTTGAAATAAACAACATTACCCACTCGGCCAAGGACACCCGAATACAATAAGTTCTATCGTCGTAATGATGAAACACAAGTATGCACACTTCCACTTTGTGAAGGGTGACATCTCGCGAGGTCAACCATTCCTTCAGAAAGCTAAACATCAATACCAGCACAATGCAAACATGTATAAAATTATTGAATTTTTTTTTCTAAAAATTAAGTGTTTTTGAACGCCGCCTTTCCTTGTTAATCTTGTTTATCATATTTGATGAAATATCTAAAAACCTCGATTGCTTAAAATAGCCTCAGTAATGAAACATGACTTATTTTCTCCCAATACTTGTACTTTTCCACGAAAAGAAGTGTTTAAAATTCTACGAACTTAAGAATGTTTCTTGTAACTCGAAAGCTGCAGAAATAATTGTGTCCAAATGAAATAGAGAAAAAACAGAATCCCTAAAGAAAGCCCAACACGGTAAAATTGTAAAATGTTGCAGGCTTGGTTTGATTGAGCTTGTTCAAAGCCGCACCATTTTAAGAACAAGTCAGTTTTAAGAACTGACAAACCCCAAAGGCCCAGATAAAAATGTGAACAGTGTTATAAAATGAGTGACAACCATTCCAGGTAGTTCGGACATATCCTATCGACCGCGTAGTTGAATTGTTTACGAGGAGGAATCGGCCAGAGCTGTAATCGATCTGCATGTTCATTTAGGTTTGAAAACCATGATCGTTTATCGTTCTTATAATATTTCCCATGCTCCCTAGCAATGTCGGAGTTAAATGCTATATGGAAAAGGGGTTTTGAATTCTTTGTTAGAACTAGTGACTAGAAATAGGAAGGAGTGTAAATATGCATGTTATTAAATGAACGAACTATATTTGCCAATCTGAACGCGTTAATCTTTTACACTATGCAATGGTTTAAAAGTATATAAAAAAATTCAAAGATTCCGAGCAGAAGAACAAGGCCGCATTCTAAATTGAATTACATGTACATTAGACACTCCAGTAAAAAAACAACAATTAAATAAATTTTATATCTTACTTTAATTCGATAGCTTGAACCTCGGCATTATTTAAGAGAAGGATGACTTTTAAACTTGCTGGTGACTTCGCTATTCCAACGAGTGATAAACGTTTCATCTGGAATATAAAAATAAATTGATATCCATAGCTTTATTTCACACCTTATAAAATATAACTAATAAACTTTCAGAGTTTTCATCACGTGATGTTCCGAAAGAAATCATTATTTGGATTCAGTCTTATCAATTTAGCATCGTTTTCATTTCCAATATCCAAAAAGTCTATAACAAATCAATATCACACACCATCTAGCCTCATTTTCATTTCTAGAGTCCAAAAAGTATATATCAAATCCGTAACAAATCTCATTCAGGCTCGTTTTCATTTTCAGAGTCCAGTATATCTATATCAAATCCATATCATACTCCATCCAGCCTCGGTTACATTTTCCATCTAAAATTCTATATGATATCTTTTTTGCAACTGAAGTAATTGTATTGTCAAGATGTCAAAAACTGGTGGTGTAAAAAAGAGATTATTATATTGTTGAGAACAATACTGATTCTACTTGACTTGTATACAGCTGTAACACCTATATCAGACTCGGCTTCGTCCAATATTGTTTATAAAGCTGTGTACTCCTCCAACAGAATTTGTTAATGCACTAAGACAACAGGTTGACTAATCTATTATGACCGGTATGGCACTGTGAAGCTATAACGGTAAAGAGTGTACCGGGAGATTAGCTTGGAAAAGCCAACATTTGCGGTCTATTAAGTATGTTTTCAAAGCACGTCACTATAAACTTCATAACAGCATATTTTATATAACTATTTTAACTATATAAAGAGTTGAACTATTACTGCATTAATGTAAAGATATGAGGCTTTTGATGTTTACCTGAAACTGTTTCTTCAATGTTAGAGTTATATTGACTTCTTTTACGATGCCAGACACCCACTTGGTATTTGTGTTGGCATCAGCCATGTAATCAGGAACATGAGCGTTTGCACCAAGACGCAAGACCTTCGTGCTACCATCGGTGCACTTCATGTTCTCGACAGGAAGGGTATCTTTAACGACTTTTGGGTGTGTTGTTGGGCACCTGAATTAAAAAAATATCTAACTCAAAAAAATGAAGATGAAGGGTAATCCTTCGGAAGCAATAATAACAACAAAATAACATGAAAATTGTAGACCCGGTGTTATTAATTATGTGCATTTATACAATGTCATGACTTGACATTTTAAATTCTTTTGTAAAGTTTCATTTGGGTTTTAAAAATTTAAAGCAAAGATAGCGAAGGAAACAAAGGTAATACAAATTAAAAGGACACAACACATCACCGGCTGTTAATATTTTTTTCTTTCATTTCTTTCAATATGGCGATAACTTTAATTGGAGATTTAATTAATTGTCACTTCAAATCACTAACCACAACCTTAGACAGCAGATGTAAATATCAAGTATATAAATAAACCTACTTCTAATGACTAAATCAGTTAAAAGTTGGAATATAAGTATGAAGAATGAAACAAGAAAACTAAATCAAAACAAAGAAGGAAGTGTAATGTTTAGAGCCCATAGCCACCTCAGTATCAAGATATTTACACCCTATATCACATGGGCAATGTCACAGCTGTACATGGCCTACATCGCATGGATAATGTCACAATTGTACATTGCCTATATCAAATGGACAATGTCACAGTTGAAATGGCGTATATCACGTGAGCAATGACAAAGCTATACATGGCCAATATCACATGAACAATGTCACATCTGTACATGACATTTAGTACATGGACAATGTCACAGATGTACATGTACTATATCACATAAACAATGTCACATTTGTACATAACCTATAGTACATGGACAATGTCACAGCTGTACATAGCCTATATCACATGGGCAATGTCACAGCTTCACATGGACTATATCACATGGATGATGTCAGAACTGTACATGACCTTTATCACATGGACAATATCACGGCTGTACATGACCTATCTCATATATATAGTGTCACATTGATAATGACCCAGCTGTACATGGTTGATATAACATGGACAATGCTACAGCTGTACATGGCCTATATCACATAAACACACTGTCACAGATGTACATGGCCGAAATTACATGGACAATGCCACAGTTGTTCATGGCCTATATCACATACACAATGTCACAGTTGTACTTGCCCTGTATAACATAGTCAATGCCACATTTTTACTTAGCCTATATCACATACACAATGTCCCATATGTACATGGCCTATGTCTCTTGAACAATGTCACAGCTGTATATGTCCTATATCACTTGAACAATGTCACAGATGTACATGGCCTATATCACATAGACAATGTCTCATCTGTACATGGCCTATATCACATGGACAATGTCACAGCTGTACATGGCCTATATCACATGGACAATGTCACAGCTGTACATGGCCTATATTACATAGAAAATGTCTCATCTGTATAATTATGTCCTATATCACATGGACAATGTCACAGATGTACATGGCCTATATCACATGGACAATGTTACAGTTGTACATGGTCTATATCATATACACAATGTCACAACTGTGCATGACCTTTATCACATGGACAATGTCACAGCTATAAAGATACAGAGAATACTAACCTGCAAAAAATATTGTCCTCTAGCCCTTTGTATATGTAATCAATTTCTCTGAAAAAAAGATGACAAATATGCAATTCATAGCAAAACACATGTCGTTTTATCGTCAAGTAACAATTTGCATCTATAAAAGTAGAACAGAGAACAGAACATAATCTATTTTTTATGCATAAACTGTACAGTTTCTAGTATTTAACAAAGAATAAATCATATTGGTACATATAAGAATGAACAAGTAAGCCTAACTATAAATGACAGAACGTTTATATCATACCACCCTCTGCACCTTTTGAACGCTATGCTATCTTTTTTAAAACACAATTTTAAAACTCACGGAGACGAGAGGCATTTCAACAGAAAATAAAAAGGCAAAAAACTACAATAATAACGAAACGATTTTAAATATTACCTATCTGTTATAACATCCGAGTACCAGCGAACATCTACTATAATTAGGGAACCTGATATCAAATCTGAAAAAAAGTAAAAGTAAATAGAAAAAGAAATGTTGGCAATGTTTGCATAACAATGACATAGTAATTATTTCTTGTTGCTAAGAAAAACACATTTGTAAACATTGAAATTGAATCATAGCGTATTGATATTGATAATTTTTCAAAATAGGACAACTTCTATTTTACAGTATTGATTTAGGTGTCGCTTTTACTTGTTTTTACGTTTGACTTTATAAGTTTTGTAATAATTTACAAATAAACCTGAATGTATAAGAACTATCCTCATTCCTTTACATTATATTTTAGAATTACATTTAATTTCATAATGGCAAAAATAAAGCCCTTTCATTTTATTTTTGAGCTATCTTAGTGTGGTTAGAACTATCGTTTACATTTTATTTAAAACTATCCTTAACATTTTATTTTGAACTATCGTTTACATTATTTTTAGAATGACTTATACGATTAGTTGATTTCAGTTTGTAATTCTAAAATGACCAATGAAAATTCTTCTTATATTCAGTACTTTTCCTGAAATTTAACAGGAAGGCAACCTGATTTCAGAACGACTTTGTCCGTAAAAATGCAAACAATTTACTTCTAATCATGGCAAAGTGAAGTGCATGCACTGCTCCTATTATATCGGTGATCGCGTAGAATTCGCCAAGTAAATTAAGTCCATTTACATAACGGGCCGTCCGGTGATCTCAACAAGCAGAGCGTTGAACTGTGAATCGGGCGACCCAGGTTCGATTCCCGGACGGCACAGGTCGTTTTCGTTGTGATTGATCATGAAATCCTTTCTACGGTCATTCGCATTGAGGACAGCTTGTCCAGGAACGATGCGGTTGTTGAACCGGAGTGAAAACTACTAACACCACCACCACATCTGATAGATTACTATGGACAATTACATCGTGTCTTACATTAATGAAACAGATTTAAAGCTACATGCCTCCGGATGATTCAAAATATTTCAATAAAACCAAACTTGAGAAAATGTACTAAGATGTGAGGAAAAGAAAAAAAAAAGTTTACAGATTCAAGTAATATTTTACGTATCATTTGCGATTAAGGACTGATTTTTCAGTATTTACAACTATATTTCTACTACGTAACTAACTCAGTAAATGCTATTTATGCACATTTTGACGACATTTTGGTAATTTACGTGGTTTGTAATTTGCCTACTTTTGGTTATTACACATTCAAATACATTTTCAAAATTTTCATGAAAATAAGCATAAATCTGGAGGCTTTAAGAAACTACATATTTATCATTTTTATGAAAAATAGCACTTCAAAAGTTGTGGAATCGAAGAATTATTTATCACCTTTTCTTGGTCCAAGTTTAACATTGTAAGATGATGATGCGGTAAAAGAAATACCATCTGCAACCAGCTGACCATTGAGAAACCAACTTAATTTGTCATTAAACTGAAATAACAAATTTAGACAAACGTTTAAAATGGTTTTAAATCAACGGAATTGAAACGAATGTCTTTAATAACCATGTGGCATATGTACTAATAGATGCTAATAATGTTTTCAACAAAACTTTACATGTCTACGAAAGGCAAAATGAATCAAACACATTAAAACTAATTTGAAAGCACAACACAACAATGCTTAACTAAGTGCGAAAGATACAAAACTAGTCATTTTCTAAATCAAAACCATGTTCCAAGACATTAAATTGATTGATGGGAATGTGGCTGGTTGGAAAGTCACTATTTCTTAACAAAGGTATCGTGGTTTCGGACTCTACTAAGGACACAATCATAATTCCTCAAGCACTCAAGCACAGGCTGGTTTCAAAGTGGTTTGTATACGATGCCAGTGCTTGATTCTAAAATCCAGCATAAATTGTCATATTACCAGAAAAACAACAAAAAAAGCAAAGCAAAAAAAAAATATATACAATAGATCATCTTACCCTCAAAGTGATGAAAAACCATCCTGGCGTCGCTTCTTTTCTACTGCTTGATGATGTCTGTAAGACAAAGGTTGGTCCAGCTGCATCATATCTCAAATTGAGACCACTGCCAATGCTTAATACATTCCTGAAATTATCAAAAGTTATATATTTAAGAATTTGTATATTTTGTACATGATATATTTACAGAATCTAACACCATTATCTTAAGCATAAATTCAATGCACATATAAAAGTGTTGGACCAAAGTAATATCAACATTATCTAGAATCTTCCCCGTGGGTGTAGATCATGCAATATGTATATTTGATAAATAGTTTGTAACAATTTTGAAAATGCTGTTTATCAGGTACTCCATTATGCGAGACCCCATATCGGTATATCAATCGGAAATCCTCGACTATTTTTATTCATAATACTTCTTATCCGAAGTATGACGGAAAGGCCCGAAAAGATGCGATTGGTATTTTTCTCAAATAATGATGTCACAGTGGAAACAACATCAAATGTGACCAAAAACATAGTAAAATTAGGTAATAAAATGCTGTCAAAATGCAACAATTACATCATTTTGTACTCACATGCTAGTTGATACTTTGACCCACATAGTTATAGTAAAGTGTGGATTATTTCCATTATAATTCCACTCATGCAGTGGACAATCTGTTGTAGACGAGTTGAATTCGATTGCCCCATTGCCTATCGTCGTGTGTGTGGGCGGTGAATCATTGTATACAGTGCAATTGGAAGAAATCGATTTTAATGGTTTTGAAAAGGAAGGAAAGCTAGTCCTTGTCGGACAGGTAGTATTGCAATTCTCTGGACCACCATCGGTACATGTACTTGTTGTACTTATTACTGAATATCTTGCAAGTTCCTTTGAATAGCTAGTTGGTAATTGAAATCCACGAGCACTTTGCGCTAGTATGACTAACACCGATAGCAACACATAAATCTTAATCTTCGTCATCACCACATGTATGGATTGTACTAATCTAAAAATAAAACAAAATCAGAACTTACAATTTATATTCTGACAATATATTCATGGAATTTACATTTGACCGAATGAACTGAAATGAAACGAAATGAAACGAAACGAAATGAAATAAACGAAACGAAACGGAATGACCAACTGGCTGACTGACTGACTGACTGACTGAATGAATGAATGAATGAATGAATATATAAATGAATGAATGAATGATCTAGTGAGTGAGTGCATTGTAATAAAAAACCTACAAATAACAAACAAACAAACAAATAGCATTATTTTTAACCCAGTCTGAAATAATTCAATTTGACAAAGTATAGACTGTTTCAACTTCATTACAAACCTTTTGGACCCAAACAAATTTTTAAATACCCCTAATTATTTAATAATGACTTGAGTACGAACCATTATTCACAATTAATCCTTAACTTGGTTTAAACACATTCATATAAGCAACACTGTGAATAAAAATTTTCAACTTCCGCTTTTAGAGCATAACAGTACTTTGTGGCTTATGAGGAATTAAGGTCGTGACACGTTTAGGGATTGAAGGCAGACGTTCAACCTACTAGGCTACAGCTGCCCGTTGAAACTTCTTAAAACAAATTTTGATTTTTATATAGCAAAAAATAGTCTATATGGTTGCTGTAGTAAAATGAATTTCATTACATTTAAGAAAATAATAAAAGTATAAATTAAAGACACACATTATATTATATTATTTTATATTATCATGCCTTAGGAAATAAACGTCCTTCTGTAGAAAGGGCAAATATTATTTAATGGATTAAGAGCATGTTCGATGCTTTTTATATGAAGTAAGTAGCGCTGAATATGAAAGTATTTTTGCCATTAAAGTAGTTAAATGTAAACAAAGTAGTATTTTGACTTCCATACAAAATACTAAATCGTTTAAAGTTTACTAATTCACAAAAGGCAAGGCGAGAAAGAGATGGGTCAGGTAATTGTCCAAGGAAATGACAACAGTAAAAAGTTTTGAAAATTAAAAGTAAAAGCATAGTGGGCCTTTAATTCCTGTAGACACTAAAAATACTTTCACTAGCGTAGGGGAATCATAAGAATCCTGCATTCAAGAGACTTTCTCTTAAGTGTTAGCCCACTACTTGCCATGAAACATTTAGATGATTTTTCATTGATACACGGACGAAAAGACAAACATAGACAAACATGTGCTATCATTCTTATCAAAGTGAAATCATTTTAGTGTTTACTGTATTCAAATCTTTTACATTAAAAAGATAAAATGATTCATGGCCACTCACCTTTTTAACATAACCCTTATACGGCTCCGAACGTTTGATGTAGGTTTAATTATGTACGTACCAAAATTTATTGTTTTAATGAATTTATTTAGTAATTACGTGTACACATTACATGACGGGAACCCATTAAATAAATACATTAAAATCCTAAGATACAAGGAATGTCAACAGTTCGATTTAACTTCCTGGTTATGTGACTCATGACAATGAAACGAAGCATACATACATGTATTTTTTGTTGAATAGATATACAACTTATAACTTAAGTACAATGAATATGCTTATACTTTAACATAGTACGTAAATTGTATGTAAACGATTGAAACAGTTTCTAAACGAGTTATTATGCGAACTTACTCGACAATCGAAATATAAACCTATCGATTGTTAAGAAAAAGACTAAACATTTTGAGAAAAACGAACGAATGGACGGGCGAACAAACGAACGAATGAATCAATGAATGAATGATCTAGTGCGTGAGTGAAATGTAAATAAAAAAACACGGTCTGAAATTATTTAATTATACCAATAATAGACATTTTCAACTTCATAACGAACTTTTGACCAAAACAAATTATTAAATAAACCTATTTATTCAACAATGACTTGAGTACGAACCATGATTCACCATTATTCCTTAACTTTGTTTAAATACATTCATATAAGGAACACTGTGAATAACATTTTTTTCAACTTTCGCTTTTGGAGCATAACAGTACCTAATTGTGGCATATGAGAAATAAAGGTCGTGAGATGTTTAGGGATCGAACGTTTAATAGTAAAGGATCTAGTGGCCAAGTCGTAAAGGTTTATGCCTTACAACCTAGGGAACATGGGTTGGAGCCCATTCGGGTCACGAACATGTTTTTTCATATAAGGATAGGTCTGGTTTGTTCCAGGAAGCGGACTTGAAATTGTTAATATAAGTTGCAAGAATTTGTTTCTCAATCGAGCTTGGATAAATATGTTTAAACTAATAGGTTGAGAGACAGACAGTTAACCGATTCTAAAATGAATTTTTATTTTTATGATGTAGCAAAAATGGGTCCATATGGTGGCTGTAGTAAACTGAACTTCATTACATTGAAGGAAATAACAACAGTATAAATTAAAGAAACATTATGCTTTATGAAAGAAACGTCCTTCTGTAGAAAGGACAACTATGATTTTTACATCGTTTATATAATGGATTCACAAATGTTGAATGTTTTACTGCATGAAGTAAGTAGCGCTAAATATGATGAAAGTATTTGTCATTAATCTAGTTAAATGTAAACAAATCGCGATCAGATTACTAATTCACAAAAGCAAGAAAAGGGTCAGGTTATTGGCCAAGAACTAGCTTTTTGGAAACTATAAAAGGACACCAAAAATAAAAAGGTTTTAGAAGTAAACGTAACAGCATAATGGCCCTTTAAAATCCCATAGCAAACTAAAAATGTTTGTACTTTCACTGGCGCAGTGGAATCATAAGAATTCTGTATTTAAGAGACTTACTTTTAAGTGTTAGCCCACTACTTGCCAAAGTATACATGAATTTAGATGATTTTTTTTTCAAATTGAGACACTGACAAAAAGACAAACATACACACTGTGCTATCATTTTTATCAGAGTGAAATATTTTAGTGTTTACTGTATTCAAATCTTTTACATAAAAAAGATAAAATGATTCATGGCCACTCACCTTATTACACAACCCTTATACGGCTCTGAACGTTTGATGTATGTATTATTATGCACGTACCAAATTTATCAAGTACCAATTATGAATTTATTTAGTAATTACGTGTACACATGACATGGCGGGAACCCATAAAATAAATACATTAAAATGGTTAGATACAAGGACAACAGTTCGATTAAACTTCCTGGTTATGGCAAATTAATGACAAAATATCAAAATAATCTTATGTACTCAAATCACGCTAAAATGTCATTTGTAAAAGTCCCAGTATGAACTTCTGTATAAATGCCATATATTTAGGGGTCCAAGCGTAAATATATCTATATATGTTGAACGAAATTTAGACGCGGACAGAATCACCGAATGATTTTAAAACTAGTCATGCGACTTGAACAAACCCAGGAAGTTACAAAAACAGATATTGCAGGATTGAAACAAACCTAAATAATTCATTTGACATGTTCTTAAACATTTCCAGAGTTCACCGTGACAACTATTGTGAAATGTGAACGCTCTAACCTGACGCAAGTAAGAAAACCACCATTTTTTCTTTAGATTAAGGAAAAAAGTTTGTTCCTTTGACTGCCTAGTGTATTCATTTAGAGGACATTCATAGATTAATGAATGAAAAATTCAAAACGAAGAAATGAAAATTTTGGCCTGTGTTTCCCTTAAAGTACAATAAATATGCTTAAATTTTAGAATAATAAATTTTGTAAACGATTGTAACAGTTTCTGAACGATTTATCATGCGTTCTTTCTTGAAAATTGAAATATAAACCGTATCGATTGGTAATATAAAAATTAAATATTTTGAGTGTGAAATATTTGTAATATTAAAATGAACTGCTTTCAGTTCTGCAAAAAGGATGCTCATATAAACGGTAAACGAGAAATATCAAATTATCTATCGAATTATCAATTGATAATTTGTGCCTTGATTCAAGAGATGAGAAGATGCCAATCTATATAATTATACTATGCATAATGTCTTAATTACCCTTACTCAGTTTTTAAGTTCTTACATGAAGTTTCTTCGTTTTTGAACGCTCAATATGCCACAATAGCTAAATACACGTTTAGTACTTCACAGGTGCTTAAAGAAAATATACCATAAATTTCCTTATAATGCAACAATAGGCTGAAATGATATGCATTGAAACGATATACAACTTAAAATACTAAGATGCGATATGCCATTCATGTGCAACTTAATATACTAAGACGTGATATGACATCAATGTGCAACTTAAAATACTAAGACTTGATATACCATTAATGTGCAACTTAAGATACTAAGACGTGATATGCCATACATGTAAATGTGCAACTTAAGATACTAAGACTTGATATACCATTAATATCAGACTAAAGATACCAAGACCTGATATGCCATTAATGTGCAACTTAAGATGCTAAGACGTGATATGCCATTTATGTGCAACTTAAGATACTATCACGTGATATGCCATTTATGTGCAACTTAAGATACTAAGACGTGATATGCCATTTATGTGCAACTTAAGATACTAAGACGTCATATGCCATTTATGTGCAACTTAAGATACTAAGACGTCATATGCCATTTATGTGCAACTTCAGATGCTAAGACGTGATATGCCATTTATGTGCAACTTAAGATACTATCACGTGATATGCCATTTATGTGCAACTTAAGATACTAAGACGTGATATGCCATTTATGTGCAACTTAAGATACTAAGACGTGATATGCCATTTATGTGCAACTTAAGATACTAAGACGTGATATGCCATTTATGTGCAACTTAAGATACTAAGACGTGATATGCCATTTATGTGCAACTTAAGATACTAAGACGTGATATGCCATTTATGTGCAACTTAAGATACTAAGACGTGATATGCCATTTATGTGCAACTTAAGATACTAAGACGTGATATGCCATTTATGTGCAACTTAAGATATTAAGACGTGATATGCCAATAATGTGCAACTTAAGATACTAAATAATGTGCAGCTTATTATTAATAAGATAATAAGACGTGATTTACCTTTAATATGCAACAGCTATCGTGAAAGTATACTATTAAAACTAATAATTTTGTTTTTAAATGTATATTAAGTATATAAACAATTATGGTAAAATCACATTGTTTCCATGTTATGGTAGATTCTTGAAAGAGTTGTAACATAAAATGGTTTTGTTATTTAACACACATTGATATTATATATAAACAGAATAAAATGTTCCGGAACAAAATATAATCCTGCTATTTTCATTAGGGTTTTAACCGTTTACAAAATGATTTCGCACATTCAGAAAATATACTTTCATATTTCTATCACACGGGCATTTTGGAAGTATTCCTTTTTAAAATTTAAACAACAACATTGGCAGGAAATATATAGCTTTATATATCATAAATTGATAAATTAATATGAAACTTTAGTACACGTGCTATGAAATTTGATAGAATCGTTTTATCTGCTTACTGAACTTCAAAGCAAATCACGTGAACAAAGAGCCGCTAAGTAGAAGCACATTTACTTTTGCATTTAAGTATCATTGGATGATATATACATATTGTTTACATAGTATCTTCCTGTTTAAAATTCACATAAAGAATAAAGCAATCTGCATTATTGGCCGATGTTGAAATTTTAAAAGCATATAATTATGAAATATAATATTCATGTTACAATGTCCCAAATTTTCACGTTTTTATTCATTTCAATCTTATAAATCTCGTTATACATTAACATGTTTGTCATGATAATATCGTGTACAAACTTATTACAAAATATTTTCGTAGGAGTGTTTTTAATTAAACCATATACAAAACTTCTTTTCTTGATTGTACCCAAATCATTTACAAGTGTGGCGTCAATTGGTTTCAATATCATTTGGTAAAATGTTAACGCCGTATCGAAAATAAATCTCAATTATATAATGACATTGTGAACAATGGGTTCAGTTGTATTGCCGAACATAACAGAACAGAACAGAAGACGTAATTTTGTCAAGCGTTCAGCTGTGTACGAACTGAATGTGTTTTTATAAAAAAGGACAATGCTTTGAATTGTTGTATTTATTCGCTCGTAAATGTGATAGTTTTTCAAATGGAAATGCAAAATTAGTATCTCGTCGCTTATTTAGATAGTTAAAGTTAAGATAGTTTGTTAAATGGCCATTTAAAGGGACGCCTCTGAGATTTTTATTTGGGGGGGGGGGGGGGAGGACTGAAAATATTTTTCTTGATCAGTAACTTGTGCAAAATATTTCATTTCTTCACCCTGTTTTTTTTTCAGTAAAAATAATGTTTATTAAGAAAAAGTTAAAATGACCCAAACATGAAA